GAGGCGGCGCCCAAGGGGCTGAAGCGCAAGGAGGAGTGGGAGCGGGAGCGCTCCCCGCGGCGGGCGGCCCCGGGCATGGCGGGCGGGCGGGCGGCGAGGAGGAGGAGGAGGAGGAGGAGGAGGAGGAGGAAGAGGAGGGAAGCGGCGCGGGGGGGACGGGGGAGGAGAAGCCGCCGCCGCCGCCCCCCGCCGGAGCGCCCCGGCCCCGAGCGCGGCCACGGGAAGAGGAATCGCTCCGGTGCGGCGGGCGGCTCCTCCTCCTCCTCCTCCTCCTCGGCCTGATGTCAGCGCCTCGCCGCGGCCGCCGGGGGAGGGACGGGCGGCAGCGGCGGCCGCCGGGCCGCGCGAGGGCCGCTCTCCCCCGGCCGCCCCCTTTCCCTTCGCCGCCCCTTTTCCCCTCTCCCTTTTCTTTCTTTTCCTCTTTGACTTTTGTTTGCGGTGAGTTTGGCGCCCGCGCCGAACCCCAGCGCCCAGGCAAGGAACGGAGCAGGGTGCCCGGCCTGGGAAACCCTTCCACAGCAAGCGAACACGTAAAATCCAGTGACAACAACAACAAAAGACAGTCTGGGGATAACAAATTAAGCCCCTTCCCGTGTCCAATCCTGACCCCTGTGTGGACAGATGGAAGATAAGGAATTGCGGCTGAGGAGTAAGCTATAGAAAGCCGCTGGGCGTCGGGCAGAACCCCATGACCTTCCTTCAGCTGCGGGAAAATGGGAAGTCCGGGTTTCTCACTCAGAAGACAAAGCAGGCAGCCAGCTCGTCACTAATAATCCTCGTTTCCCACTTAAACACACTTTTATGCCATTGGCTCCTACATTACTCAGCTTGGCTGCACAAAGCCCTGAGTGTAACCTCCGGGTGGGAAGGGCAAGGAGGAAATGTGCCCGGAGCAACGGGGCCAGGCGTGGAGCCGGAGTGGGATCCCTCGCAGGCTGCATGTCCATGCGCACATCTGCTCCACGCCATGCTGGCAAGGGATGGATGTGTCGGCTCGGGAAGCAGGTCCCCCAGCCCGGCACAGCGTTTCCCAGTGGGGACCATGCATTGGAGCAGGATTCTGCTCTTCTTGGGGGGCACTTGGGGGCTTGCAGCATCTCCTGGGAGCTGCTCCCTGGTGGCAGAGGGTTTGGGCAGGACCAGGGGCTGTGGGGAAGCCGCTCTGGAGCACAACACACATGGGAAGCTGTTCCTGGCCTTCCCTTCATCCGGCCACACGCAGCACATTCCCATCCAGGGAAACGGCCCTTTCAGCCCCAGGTTTTCTCTGCAGGGGAACGCGCTGACCCTGCTCTGCTCGAGGCCTCTCACTGTGCAACCAGCCCCTCATTGGGAAGACGGATTTGGAAGTCGCCTTTCCCATGGAAACCTCCGCTTTAGAGGTGGGAGAGTGGGAATGGTCTGCAAAAGAGAAAAGGAAAAAGAAAGAAAAGAAGGGGAAGAGGAGGAAAGTGGCTCTTTGCTCCGCACCGGGTGGCCGCAGCCACCAGGTGGCCCTCGAGGCCCGCGGTGTCCCCGTGTCCCGCATCCCGGTGCCCGGCTGGCCAGGAGCTTCAGCCTCTGCTGTTATCTAAATATACATAGACACAGACATATATACAAAATACACCCTTGGCCTCGCTAGCTGAATGGCAGGTGACCAAGTGCCGCCACTCCCCAGGCAGGAGTGAATTTATCTGCGCTCACAGTCCAGTTTTCCCGTTTTTCTCCCACTGTGCCGTTTCTCCTGGTGGGACACTCACACCACGTCAAGGGGAAGCTCTTCCCCTTCCTTTCCTGTCCCCAGCAGGGAAAAGGAGCAGCCAGGAGCAGCCCCAACCTTTGTGCCTACGTGACGCAGCAGCTCATCTGCCAAAGCGCCTTCCCTGTCGAGCAATAAACGGGAAGATTATTTGATTAGAGCGGAGCTGCCCAGGGAAAGAGACCCGGAAGATCAGGGTAACAATCGCTAAGGCCACACACATCCTGCTCTTCCCCCGGGTAGGTCTGGAGGAGCATGAAGCTGCTGAAAAGCTTTAAATGATAATGGGGTTAAATAATCCCGCGTGCTTTTAGCATAGGGGTAATTGAGTTGAGGAGATATCGTCAGTGCCCATTGCAGCTGCTAACGCCCTTCCCAAAGTGGCAGGAGGAGCGGGATGAGATGACAGATCCATCGAGCCTGTGCTCTGGACAGGGATGAGCATCGGATCTGAGCCGAGGCCACGGCCACCAACCCGCTGCGTCGCTTCTCCTGCCGCACGACACGGACACCGGGAGGTTTTTCCATCTGCAAGAGGAAACCAGCACCCTTAGTCACGGCCCACGGGATAACGTGAAACACCCTTCCTCTGCAGAGCCAGCAAAGGGCTGGGCGAGGGGCTCCTTAAAGGTAATTTGTAACCTGCCCTTAATGGCCCAGCCTGCGCAGGAGCAGCTGTCAGGCCTCGTTTGCAGCGGGGCTGGGGGAAACCAGGGGAAATTATCAGCTGTGCCCAAGCGGGGGGATTAGGGGTTTGTTTGGTCCCACCCACGGGCAGCACCAGAGGCCTGGACGTGTCTGCTTCCAGCAGGGACAGCCGGGATTTTGCCCGCTTTTAGGGTGGTGGAAAATCCCCCTGGGTGCCCAAGAGCCCCACGGCTGCCCCGGTGACTGCACCGCGACCCGGCACGTGGCGCGGGCCAGAAATAGCCCTGTTTGGGGAGCAACGGGAAACAGCAACGGCGGCCAGGAGGGCGGCCGCGCTGCTCCCGCGGGGCCAGAGGCGGTTTTGGATCAGGGTGGGCTGAAAAACGAGAAATGGGATCTGTGCTTTCCACGGGGAAGAGAGGTGCAGATGCTGCCCTGCACCAGCAGGAAAAACAGGGATGATGTTAAAACAAAAAAGCACAAAAAGCAAAGCGAAAGGCTTCTTTGGGAAGTCCTCTCCATCTGCTGGGGTCTTTGCAGGAGAGAAATGGGGAAAAGAGCGGGCTGCGGGTCGGGGATGCGGGTCACTGCCGTGCCCGGCTGCATGAGTGAATCCTGACGGGAGCAGGGAAAAAGCGGCTCTCCAAAGGGTGTTTATAACAGTGGGGTCATTGCTGCCTGCTTCCCGTCACACGGCGATGTGTCAAAGGACGGCGCTGAGCCCCGCAAGTGCGGTGGAGAGGGCTGGAAACAGCGCCCAGCGCGTGGCCGCGGGACACGGGAAGGGACCGCGCGGATTCACGGAGCCCGTCCCGCAGAGCCTCCCGCTCCCGCCGCGGGACGAGCCGCTCCGCTTGCTCCTCCGCACCCGCATACAAAACTGGTGCCCGAGTCCTCACATACCGACAAAAGCGATGCCCGCCGAGCTGCCTGCTCGTGTTCTTTGGATATTCTCGTGGCGCTGGCTGCTTGGCACCGGACGAGCGGAGCCTTTCCCACATGGGGACTTCACAGCTGGCTGCCCAGACCGTAGCAAGCATCGCAGCATAATGCTTGTAAAAATAATGGTGAAAAGGAGGAAATTCCATCTATTGATATAAATTCCACTTTATTCATATAAAATCCGCGTACAGGCATCCCTATAAAATCAAGTGGAAGCCTGATTGAGTAGAAGGCGTTTGCAAACATACATGGCAACATGCATGCATGCATACCAGAACCATAAATATATGGAAATTGAGAACACTTAAATGCCTCTATGTGCATATTGCATTATTTTTTCAGACTGTAAATATTTTTAATCCAACACTTGCCTTTAAATCATATTAAAACACGTAAGGAAAAAAATATATCAATTAACACTGCTGTCCACGAGCTGCTTTCGCACGTAACAGGCATCACCGAAGCACATGTGCCACAGCCAGGGACCTTTTTATTGCAGTGACTTCATCTTCCAACCATTCCCACAGCTACTTGTGTACAGTAGGTTACCCATTTATAGGTTTCTAATAAAAGCCAATCTTTCTTAAGTAGCTATTACTGGATTTCTCCTTTCGGCTTAGGGATAAGGAGGATTCCGGGCTTAAAATAAAGCTCCTGACCCAGGGAGCTAAAGAAGAAAGTGACAACGGAGGGAAGCGATGGCAACAGCCGAGGTGTCCCCAGAGCAGTTGGCACCTCGGAGGCTCCGTGGTGGCCGGAGCTGCAGCCCGTGCTCGAGGACACCGGGCTGAAAAACCCAAGAAAAGGGTAAAAAATAGAGCCGGGTGCTCCCAAAGAGCAGGCGGGAGAGGCAAAGGCCTTTCCAGGCTCTCCATCGAACCTTCATCTACCCTTCCTTGCCCCTTCCTCCCAGCCCAGACACATGAAACGACATCAGCCGGCTGCTTTCCCACGTGAAGCGAAGCTTTATTGAAACCCCAGTATAGCAGAAAGGTTCTCGCGGCTCATTTTCCTCCTTTTCTGCTTTCACACGCTTTTCTTCTTCTCTTTTTGGTTTGCATTAAGTACAGCATTGTAAACAGCTCTTGCAAAGTCCGACAGTTTTGCGCTGCGCTCCCGTCCAGCCCCGCCGAACGCAGGGCCTGGCAACACAAGGTGACTTGCAGCACCTGGAAATAATTAATACTTTTTGAGTGCTGCTTTTCAGGATTTACGCAGTGCGTCACTAAAGAAAACGCCTTTATTTTCTTTCAATCACATACTGAAGTACAAGTTTAGGAAAAACCTCTCCATTACATTTAGATACATAGTTCAAAATTGACATTTTTCTTCCAAAGTCCGTCACAGAGAAAGTCAAATTCACATGCACCTTAACTGGTTTCTACATTCGCCACCATATTACACCTCATCACGATATTTAGCATAAAAAGGCTAACCTGCAAAGGCTTTAGACATATTGACATGTAGTATGAACGCCTGGCAATGCGTAAGAAACCCTGAAGAGCAGTTTGATTGCACCGAGACAGATGCAGGCTGGTAAAATAATAAGGCACAGTGCTGGGTGTAGGGAACGTGTCGGTGTATTTTGAGCAACAGGCTTGCTGAGCTCGTCAGCGAGTCTGTAAGTGGATTAAAATCGTCGCATCCTCTCCAACGCAGCGTGGAGAACGTTCACCTACCCAAGACTGCCCCGCAGACTCCAGGATTTCGCTCGTTACCGGGGAATTAAAGGCAATGGGAATCGATAGAGCCTTAGGACACGCACGGAATATTTCATTGGAAATAAGTCCCATTTCCTCAAACTTTTGTCAAGGAGGAGGAACTGGGAAAAAAAGATAAAAAAGTGGTAACGCCGGCACACACCGAGCATCAACATTCGATGCCAGGGGCAGGTTCCACAGCTCAGAGCGCTCAACGGACACTAAAACTGCAGCTTTTTCCTGCAGAAAGTCCTTTGGGGCCGGCTGCACTCCAGGCCGGCCGCGTCCCGCAGCGCTGCCGCCCTCCCCGTGCTGTTTTGGCTCCTCGCTCCTACCGCGGAATTAAACTTTGGCAGGAGGGGGATTTATATCCAGCATTTCAGCACAGCCCTCTGGGTGCAGCATCAGCCTTTTGCTTCTATGGCGAGGATTAGTAAGACATTGCTGAGATCATCATGTATACATTGCCCAGCCCAAACAGCTATTAGGAGCACGGACAACAAAAAAAGAACCACAGTTTGCAGTGAATATCCCTTTAAAAAGGACCTTCGATTTGTTTCAGAGGTAGTTTTAAAGAGGATGGCCATTGCAAAGACCCTCTAATGATTAAAAAAAGCCTTTTAAAGACTGCTGCTTTTTAAAAAGTTGCAAATGCACCGAAGTCCTAACAGGTCACAGTTATTGTAAACAGCTTCAGATGGAGCAACACACCCGCTCTTTCATAAAAGCTGCCTCAAAACCTTCCCAATTGCTTTGTTCCGAATTCCTGCCGTAAGGCCGGAATTCATATTCCAACTGGGGAAGAGGGAAAACGAAGACTCCAGGGGAGCCTCTGCTTGGTGCAGAGGCCCCGCGGAAGCCGATCCCGAGTCTAAAGCGCGGGTTTTCTGCAGCGGGACGGAGCCCGCGGCGGAGCGAGCGGGTCTGTGCCGGCGCCTGGCCGCGACCCGCGGGGCATAGTGCAAAAATACCCGGCGGGGCGGCCGCCTTCGCAGGGAATCAAACCAGGAGCCGCGCGGGGCTCTCCTGAAACCCGAGCGGGTGCCGACGGGGCAGGATAAGGGCTGCGATTAGCGGCCGTACTTGGCGCTCGCGTCTCGCTCTTCACTGAGGGAAGAAACACAGAGCTGGCAGAGCAGGGGTTGACAGCGCGGAGCGACGGCGCGCAGCGAAACGCAGCTATCAGAAGGAACTTTACAAGTTCAGGTGGCTTTATTAAAACATCTTCGAGGGGTGACGTGGTTTTGCTGCAAACCCGAGGCATTTGTGCATGTTTTGTGCTACCTTTTGTGCTTTAAGTTACAGTAGAACCTCACTAATGCCAGCAGGGCAACAACCTGCAGGGCAGCTGCCACGGAAAGCAAAGCTGTTCTCTCGCTCTGTTTGGTCAAATTTAGGCTCGTATTGCTTTGAACATCCCAACCTGCACCACAACCAGCCAAACCGACGAATTCCTGGTGATTTCAGACCTCACTAACATGGAGCTTTCCAAAAAGCAAGCAGAGATCGGCGAGATTCCGCTGCACCTTAGACAGGCCCGCGCGCTGCCACCCGAGGGACGCTGCCCAGCGAGCGCCACCGTGTCCGACGCCTGTCCCGCCTCCCAGGGGATTCAACAAGCCAAGCGCTCACACGCTTTCTCCCATACATAAGACTTATCATCTACTTTAAATTGTTCTCAAGTGAGATTTATCATCTCTTTCAAGTGGTTTCCTGGTTTGGAGGCCTGGGAAACGCTATTCTTTGAAAGCCAAGATTTTCGTAAAGAGAAAAACGGGGCTTAACAAATGGAAGCAATGATGAAATATTGTCAGTTATCGTCAGCTGTGTTCTCCACAGCGTGGGGACATCCTATCCCACATAGCTGGAACCCACACAGCACAGATGTGCGCAAAAGGCTGTGATAAGGTACCTTATAGTCATCAATTCCCAATTCCTAGGGCAATAACGAAAGCTGAGCATTTGTTAGGTGAAAAAATATTTTGGAAGCAGGAAAATACTCATTCTTGCCAACAGCCAGGCTGTTCTGCCTGCTGCTTGTGCAGCTCCCAGCGCACAAACCCTCGATTTGCTCCCCAGCCTCAGCAGGGGAGCAGGGTGCTCCCCTTCCACCCCTCTTTCCAACCAATGCTCCTCAAAAATCCTTCCCGTCTCATTCCCCAGGTTCACGTACACACAGCCAAGGTCAGCAGAGAGAGAAAAATGCTTCTTGCTTCTAAAAACGCGCCCCATCTGTTAAAGGATGTGTGAACTTCACGGTATCTTGTGGCACTTTATATAATTTGCTTCCCCGCTTTTCCATCTGAATAAAATTTAACTCCCTTGAGTCACAAAGAGCACTGGCTGTGCATTAAGAAGCAAACCACGACCACACCGTGCACGCTGCTCTGTCTTGTGGCTGCATGGGTAAAAGCTGGACTTCTAATTCCATTATGAGTTGACACTTGTAAAACAAAGCAACTCAAAGAGTTAAATAAATAAGAATCTCAGGTTGAAACAACAGTCTTGGAAAGTCTGGAGCCTGGGCTCTGCCCTTCTGACTTGTTCTAATAGAGCCTCCCACCCAGCATGGCCCCAGCGCTGAAATTAAACACAGCAGAGGAGAAAATGCAGCCCCATCTTCTCAGAACAAGGCTCTTATACTGAACATTTGGTTGACTGATCTCAAGGATCACACAGATAATTCCTTTGATTGCATATACAGAGAGACTCCTAGCTTCAACATTAAAAACCTGCAACAGAGAAACTCATTAAATATAAAACCCTCCGTTCTTAAAAATCCTAAATCGTATTTAAAATTGTCTTCAAGCACCTGGCAACAGATCAGATGTTTCTGGAAATGAAGTTGAGCCATGTGGCTCCAAGGAGTAACAACCAAGGGCTGCGCTCTTATTATTACAGGTTACACCACTATTTTATGTTCTTGGAAGATAAAGAGGAAATACAAGCTTATAGACTCCAAGCATGCAAAAACTGAGACATCTCTTTCTCAACTGCTTGAAGAGAAACAATTCGAAATAAAGCAATTCTTCCTGTAGCATATTCTGATTTGGATCTACCCGTTCTTCTGTACCTTATCAGTCTTTCCTGATATTTCACAGATTACACTCAGATTTCAGAGGACTCTTATAATTATTAGGCCTGTGCCACATCTGGTTTCTAGTTGCAGTGCCGGCCCTTAAAAATTCCCTTGTCTGACAGGGATGGCGCGTTTGGTTTTTATGTAAAAGAACTCCATGTAATTGAGTGGCAATCACCCTATATACACACACACAGAAAGAAAATCAAATGACCAGAATCTCAAACAGGCACAAAGTAGCCTCTAGTATCAACAGTTACTTTTAAGTTCAACATTTCTGTTTTGGAGATGACACAGGGAAGGAAAAAAAAATAGTAAAAAACACAACTAGCAAAACTGGATACTTAAATTCAAGCTCCAAATAAATAATTAATTCATTAGCCCTGAACAAACTGGCCCATACTTGTAATGGGATGGGCCAGTTCTGATCTTTAATTCCCTTGATGGTTTCTCATAGATTTTTAAGGGAAAGTCTGCAGAAGTTAGAAGGTTTATGAAGATGTATCACGTGCTCTGTGACATTTCTAGGCTCCTTTTAAAAATCACACTGACATTTGTCACCAAATTTCACTGATACTATATCCTATAGTATATATCCTATTTTCGTTTAAGTCTCAGCCAGAACGAATGAGGAAAAACAGTGTAGAGAAAGGAAGATCTTCAAACATTGAGCTGGTTGCAAGCAACTTGCTCGTGCTTAACATTAACACATTTGTGCTTTTGACAATAGATGTAAAATCTCTCTCCAAAATAAGGAGAGTTCACACGGGGATTAACTTAAAGAATTGATTTTAAAAATCAATTGTCCCTTGCCATCCTGTGCCAAAAAAAATCTGTCGAACTGTCTTGATAAGAGATAGTTTGATTTCTAAAACAGCATTATTAAACAGCACATCTGCTAAAGTGGCATCTTACTCAAAACACCAGATGTGCTGACTTATCAAGTAATGTAATATGCACCACATTGCAACTGAAAAAATTTGATAGAAGTTAGCCCTTTAAATGTTTCTAGTTTGATTGATTTTTTTTTTTTTTTAATATTCAAGATTTAGCATTTAAAAAAGGTAAATCCTTTAAAAACCTCTGCATTTAACTTCCTTACATGTTATTAACAATTAAAACGCAAGGTATGTATTCGGGAAATACATAATCCTCTATTAACTAACCAGTTTTGGTAGCACTGTACATAGAGGTATCCCGCCGTTGGAGTCGGCTGTTAAATTAGCCCTCAGCTTGTTGGCTACTCCAACCACCGGCGGCAACTTGGAACCTATTCCCGGGAAGGGGCCTGGGTAGTTAGATGTCCGTTTACTGGAGCTTTTCTCAGTGCTGGGTGGTTTGGGTGCTCGTTTGCAAATCCAAGGGTGCCTTAAAGCCTGGCTCGGAGTCATGCGCACGGCAGGATCCCAGCTGAGGCATTCCTTTAGGAATTCTATGAACAAGGGGTCGTCGCAGCCCTTCAGGGCTGTCACCCAGTCTTTGTTCCCCGGAGCCCCGCGGAGTTTGCCCCGGCGCGAGCGGCTCCCGTTCAGGGTCACTCTGCCATCCGCGTGCATGGTCACAGTGCAGTAGCGAGGATGGCCCTTGGAGTTGATGAAGTTCTTGGCTCGCTTGGATTGATCCAAGAGCTTCTGCGGTGGCATTCCAAGCAGCTCCATCATACAGGCCAATTGGTCTCCCTCGTCCTCGCCGGGAAAAAGAGGGTATCCAGTCAATAGTTCCACCAGAATGCAGCCAAAACTCCACATGTCTATGGGCATCCCATAGCGGCTTCCCAGGATGACCTCGGGGGCCCGATAAAAGCGGGACTGAATGTACGTGTAGACTCTTTGGTGCTCAAAACAGCTGGACCCAAAATCTATGACCTTGATTCCACTCCTCCCTTGCTGCTTTAGGAGGATATTTTCTGGCTTCAGGTCACAGTGGATGATTTTGTTCCTATAGAGAGCATCCAAGCACTGCAATATGGAGTGGGCAAATTTACGCACCAGCTGGATGCTGAACCCCTGGAACTTATTCCTTTTAATTAGCTCGTACAGATTCATGCTCAGGAGCTCAAAGGTCATGCAGATGTGGTTGCGAAAAGTGAAGCTTTCCAGCATGTGAATCACATTCATACTGCCAGTTTTATCCTGCTTCTTCAGATGCTCCAAAATCCGGATTTCTTCTGCTGCTTGGCGATGGAATCTCTTTTCATTGCGAACCATCTTTAGGGCTAAGTGCTGGTGGAGTTTATGATCGTAGACCTTAGCAACTTGTCCAAAACTGCCTTTTCCAATGATTTTGAGGACTTCATAGCGGTAAGCAAGATGGTCATGGGGCACATGAATATAGCTACCCTGATCATCGTCATAACCTCCGTTGTTGGGGCCACCTATAACTCCTTGCCTCTTTTTTGCAGCTGGACCCACAAAATAAATTTCAGAAAAATTAAATATCTCTTGCTGCTCATAAGCAGACAACTGATGTTTGTACTGTTTGACAGCTTGTTCTGGAGCTTGGGAAATGGCTTTGTGCACTTTTAAGGAACTACTAGCACATTTAGAAGTGCTTAAGCTGTCTGCATTTTTCTCTTTTGTCAGGGATGGAAGAGCTCTTTCGGCACTGTTAATTCCTGCAGACTGAAGAGTGCTACTTCTTCTGTTGCCAGAGTCCTCAAATAATTGCTCAACTTTGACCTGACTTCCAGTCAGAGGGTGATCCTTCATTGCAAGCTTGTGGCTATTAACCTACAGATGGGAAAACAACAAATAAGTCGCCTGTTATCTTTTACAGTAGGAACCAAGAATAACAACCAATCTGACAGAAAACAAAGAGTTGTAACAGGGACGTGTTTTGCATTTCTACTAGGAATGAACAAAAATACCAGATTCAATCCCTAAGTTAATTCAAATTACAAGTGCAGTTACCGATGGGTATGCAAGGAGAATACAAGTTACTTGACCAAGAATATATCCAAACGCAGGGTATTTTTGAGTCCATAAAGGGTAAAGCTGCAGCCGTGGCCCAGGCAAGGGCGAACTAGCTATCCCGGCCGGAATGCACGCGGCCCCAAAACAGCCGGGGGAGCAGCTATGTTTAGCTTGAAGTGTGGGTGCAGAAAACACAACCGCCAACAGATGCGGTTTGCACCTGTCTGAAACACGCAGCATAACAGGGATGGCTGGGGAAGTGTTGGGAATATTGCAAAGGCGGCAGTGCCAACGGAAGACGTTTACTTAAACGACAGCCAGGGCCACAGCGACAGAGTAACCAAGCGGAGCAAGAAGCAGGAGGATGACAAACCAGGACGAGACTGAAAAACACTCACAAAGCAAAACACACCCGCACCACCAGCAAGCACACTACAAAACCCACACGATTTGCTGCACTGGATCCACAATTCCCTTTTACAGTCTTGACAGCTGCATTATTGCTTTTGAGAAGAGACTTAGAAACTGAATAATCAAAAATATGTTCTACTACTTTCAAAAAGTTTGAGTAACTGCCTCTTACTGCCATATTTTGTTTATATTTGAAATAAACGTGTCAAGGATATAAAAATGAGAGAAGCACTTTGCAAGTTTTCAACCATGTTATTTTCATAGACCGAATTCCTACAATTCTGTTCCTTACTTGCAGCAGCAGCAGCTCTTCCCCCTTTGAGCCCAGTGACCCTCCACACTGACAGACAGCGAGAGGTGTTATTTTATCCCATGCAGCACTGAAGAGGCCATGACTAGTGCAGCAACATCTGTTTTCCATTCTGGCCTTTAATCTAAAAATAAAAATTTGAGACACATGCCAAACCAAAACTCTGGAAACTGAAATAGCTACACAGGAATTGAGAAAAAAGCCCTGTAGCTCCCTAGCACTAGAACTGAATTCCTTTTCAGTTACATACCATCCAACCTCACAGCACAATCAGTAAATAAGGGAAGTGCTAATTCTTGCCAAAGACAACTACACACCTCTCTTTCAAGAGTCCATTTGCTGGTGCTGCCCCGAAACATCCGCTCGTGTTCAGCTGCCCAGAAAACAGGCGCTTCCCCCAGGGCTGCCCCGGCCCAACGGCGTCCGGGCCATCCAAACCCCAACGAGTCCCACTGCTCGGAGCGGCAGCAATCCAGAAACACGGAGCACGTTGCGAGGGACGAGCCCTTCCCGAAGCTCCAAGGAAAACAAACCAGCAAGAAGCAACGTCCCCCGCAACAAAAAACACACCACACCCCCAACACTGGGAACTTGGATAAACACCTTTTTCTTCGGGTCTGGCTGAAACGCCGAGATAAGAACGAGGTGCGTGTTTTCAGAGCCAACTAAACGTCTATTCACATTAAACAGACACAGAGAGTAGGTTTACAAATAAACAGGGAACATAAGCAGGGAGCAAGGTCGATATTTGTTTGGTTTATAAAGTTGGGGTGGGGAGGAGGAGGAAGAGGAGGAGGAAGGGGAAAAAAAAAAAAAAAATAAAAGCCTGTCCCTACAGAATAAGCCTTACTTTCATCTTTGAAATCAAGACTTGATATCGTCACTATGTGGGTTTCAATTCTATGCACAACAGAAGCAGCTTTTTATCATTGTATGTGCTGCATAAATACAAGTACACATTTGTGGACACCCGTCCTGACAGGGAACATCTCCAAGGCAGTTTATATTAGCAAGACTCCATGAAGATCCTCTTGTAGCTGGATGAATGAATTAAGCACCAGGACTTCAGAAATGCACTATGTACCACATTAATTCTGTTTACATAAATATTCTGCAAGTGTTACCAGTCTCAGTGTCACGGATTCTAGTGGCATGATAGGGTCCCAAAGCCACTCTGTAATTTCGACTTAAATACAAAAGCAATTTGTGATTCCACTTCCCCTGAAGTATTTCTTAATAAAAGAAAGACCAGGATTGTATCTCAAACCTGATTCAACAACTAGTGAGAACTAATAATTTTTTGTTCTGTACCACAACACGACCATAACACACAAGTGTAAATCAATCTTAACTTGAATGCACAAAGGCTACATGAAAAGCAAGCTGATTTCTGGGCAACATCAGCCTTCTTTGAGCTGCTTTCTTTCACAAATCGAGGACTGTGCAGGTTATTTTCTTGATAAACTTGCTATCAGCTGCCAAGAAATGACTGACAAGATAAATGGCAACCCCATTGAAGGTTTTCACTGCCTTTTTTTTTTATACACACAGTTCACTTAAATACTTTACCTTAGGAATTTTTAAAAAGATGATACACCAGAGCATTTCATCAACCTGTAAAATAATTTTCTCGACTGAAATATGAGTAGAGGACAATAAAGCAGGATTTCTAATGCTACGCAGCAAGTTCTGTGCTGAACACACCACCACATTCTGTTTATGCCTACAAAAGGCAAGCGTGTCAATAAGCTATCACACAGCTGCAATATCCCATCCTATTATTTTCCTGTGTATAGTGAAATATATGATTACTTGGCTATCTTCAACCCAACACAGAGATCCAGAAGACATTTAAAATACTCACATTAGATCTTCCAAAGGAAGGAAGTCCTGAGGGGCTCTGCTCTTCATTTGTAGACTCTTGGTACCTAACCTGATCTATCCTCATATAGGAGTCATATAATCCATCTGCAAACCTGCCTGGAAGTGTCCCATACAGAAACCGGTTAGTCACAACCATTCACACACTGACACAATAACTTAAAACGCTAAAAATGCATCTCACTTCACACAGTTTGCTCAGTAAACCCTGCAGTTTTCACTCATTTAGTCATTGAAAAAATAATCCTTCAAGTTTAACTTCAGCATTAAACTTGTGTTTTATGTTTACACCACAAAACAGCACAAGTCTTTTTGCAAATCTCCACTTACTTCTCCCTTAATTTGGAGCATATTTATTAACTATTGTGCTGCAGGGTTTTTTCCCAGGAAACATTAACCCATATACTCCCTTCCCCCCTCCCCGCATTAAGCAGGATAATCCCAAACTAGCCTCATTTACAGCTACAACAATAAAATTAAATAGCATGCAGTTAACTGCTTGACGGAGTCGCCCTTTAAAGCAGCTTAGCTTTATAAAAACGATATGGGGGAACTGGAGGGAGCGGAGCGGGAGGTCCCGGAACGGCCTTTCCCGAGGCTTCCCGCACCAGGAACGCGTCGTTCTGAGCGGCAGGACAACCTGTTCTGAGGGGTTTTGCCCCATTTTAACGCTCCTGCTGCAAAATGAAGCCCTGGCCGCCCTGCCCCGATACCCGAGGGCGGCTGCAGCCGCGCAGCTACGAACTAACCCCGCAGCCGCCAGCGCCGGGCGGCCCCGCCAGCCGCTAAGGACTGACCGCCCCTGAACGACCGCGGCCCCGGGCAGCAACAAGCGGTTTCTGCCGGGCGCGGGACGAGCGCGGTGCCCAGCGCCCGGGCTGCCCCACCGAGCGGAACCGGGGCGGACCTGGGGGGTAACCCCGGGGGAGCCGCCGGGCCCACCTGCGCTGAGGGGCGCCTCGGGCTTCCTGCCCAGCAGCATCATGGCGGGGGGGTGGCGGCCGCCGGGCCGCGCGCCCCATCCCCCTTCGCGCCGCCGCTGCTGCTCCTGCTGCTCGTGGCCGCCCCGCCGGGCCTGGGCGGGC